TAATAATAATAATAATAATAATAATAATAATAATAATAATAATAATAATAATAATAATAATAATAATAATAATAGTGGGTTGAGTAAAGAAACCATTAAAGATAACTCAGATAGCAACAATAATGCTGCAAATACTGCGGAGAAAACGAAAGAATTCCGTTATGTTATTGATATCTTGGATTTTAATCATCAAACTTTTCTTGAGATGTTGAGATTCTTATATACAGATCAAGTGTCTTTTAACAAACGAAAGGATTCGCATCAAACAGCATTTGATGTAAGTGAAATTTGAATTTTATTTGAATTCTCTTACCCCTTTACTAAATTATATAAAACGGATCACCAGCTATTTTCTATAGCTGACAAATACATAATCCCCGATCTACGTGAAAGAGCAAAAGTAAAAATATTCCACGAATTAAATCCCAACAACGCCGCCGAGATCTTGTTTCAATCTGCATGGAAATGGCCCGACGTCAAAGAAGTCGTATTCAAATTTGTCGTCGACAATTTCGGCAGAGTTCGTAAAACGACTGGCTATCGCAATGTCTCGATGAATCCGCGTACATATCCGATGAGTAGCGAGATTTTAGTGGAGTTGTTAAGTTGTTTGGTCCCGGACGATCAAGCTGAAGGTGGGGAAACTGTGCCGCGGACACTTAATTTAACTAGTGAGTGAATGGAGAGATAGTGGATTTTTTTTAATAGAATGGATGGATATTTGCTGTCCCTATTTGAACAATTATATTTTTTTAGTTATTTTAGTTATCGTTATTAATACAACGAATGAAACATTAACGTTAATACTTTAAATTATTACATATCGATATGAAAGAAATTTTTATGAATACTAAAATTCTAAATTTTTCGACTTAATCTTTTTACTTCATTAAAAAATAGTCATTTTTAACAAAAATTTTTAAAAGGAAAATATTTCTCGTAACGTGTTAAAATAAAGTAACATTAGATAAATTTGCTTTAAATCATGACCGTTACAAAAAACGAGATAACTATCGTAAATGGCACTTTGGGGGTCTATTACACGAAATATGAATTGGCTGTGTTAATAGCTGAGATTTTGGGGGGGGTACAATACTAGAGGGAATTTTTTATATGGCCATTTACAGAGCACGACACCTAGTCCCAGTTACTTTAGAGCCTATAACTTTTGTTGAATTGAATTTCTAACCAACAACTTAACATTGAATTGTAGACCATACTAAGGTCTACACTTCAATGTTAAGTTGTTGGTTAGAAATTCAATTCTACAAAAGTTATAGGCTTTAAAGTAACTGGGACTAGGTGTTGTGCTTTGTAGAATATTGAATTTCAACGGAAATTACTGCACACAAGAGTGCGTCATTTTTCGCAATAAAAGTTCTAATTCAACATGTTAAAGTTTGATACGTCAAATCTAAGACAATTCAGCGCTTAAAAGGTTGAATAGACTTGGCTCGTCAAAATATTGGTATTTGATGTTTATTATTTTACTTAACAATCTCGAAATACTGAATAACCACAACTCGTCGTGTTTATTTGCTTAAATTTTCAATAGCTGAGGTTAGACTCTTACACAGAAGAAATTTTATTTGCCAAAAAGCACTTAAAGTGGTAAAAAATGAAAGTTGAGATAAATCACGATATTTTTTATACATGCAAGTCGAAGATCTAAAAGGCTGATTTATTTTTGTTATATAACGATAACGATAAATTCCCATCTTTTAGTATTAACATTAACGTTAAATATTTTGTAATGAATAATTTTAACAATTATATCATCAAATACTTTAAAAAACTATACATTTTGTTTATTCAAAAATAATTCTCTATACCAAGAAATAATTTTATCACAATATTGATAAAAGCTTTACTAACTTTAAAATCAAATTAATATTTCTAAATGTTTAGTCAAAATAGTTTACTTACAATTCTAAATTGAATTTTGTACAAATTAATGACGATTTTCTTTCAAAAAAAATAATTTTTTAATTTAATTATTTGAAAAAACAATATAAATATTAAAAATTAAATATACATAGAGTTGTTTTTAACTTTTACCATATTTGAGTTTTTTTATTTGTTTTTCTATATAATGTGTACAATTTTTAAAATAATTTAAAAAATCAAGACAATATATATTTTTATTAATAATTTCCTTTTATAAATTATAACTGAAAACAATTATACTTTTATTATATTAAATATTATAAGCAAATTTTATTTTATAAATCTTTTTATTAAACTTAAATGGAATACTTTTACTTTTTATAAATTTCTTCGTTTTGACATTTTTATACTAAAAATTTTTTTGACAAATAAGGAAAGCAGCTAGCATTTTAAGATAATTTACTAATCTATAAAATTTTCTACAAGACCCTCAAAGCTAGTTTACACTGAATCTAGTGTATCAATTTTTTATTTACAAAATTAAAATATTTATTTGTCTAAGTTATAAACTTTAATTGTAGCATATACTTACTTTTTGTTTTATATTGGATACAAGCTTTTCTTTTATTATTAAATTTCAATATTTCAGTTAATTATAAATTTTAAATAAAATAGTAGCATCAATTCAATATTTTTTAATAGCTTAAATACAATAATAACATAATTCAATTTTCTAAATAAAAAATAAATATTCCTATATAAATATTTTTTAAAAACTTTAATTCAATTACAAGAAGATATATCATATGAATATCTAGTGAAAATATATATAAGAATAAATATAGTATATTAAAATGTAAATAGGAATACATACAAATTTACAAATATTTAAAGTTTAGTTAGGATCTCAAAATTTGCTGATACATATTAATTTTTGAATTAAAGCATCTCTCTAATAATGAAATACAGTTAAAATACTGTTATAATTAAAAGTACAATTAAATATCAATATAATTTAAATAAAAATGCGAATACTATTATTTTTATTTATAAATATTTATTTGTTCACGCTATAAACTTTGTAGTATATACTTGCTTTTTTGTTTTAATTTTGAATACAAAATAATTCATTTTGTTCTTTTGAATTAGTAAATTTTCAAAATTTCTGTTAATTGTTAATTTAAAAAAAATAATTAATTTTATAAATAAATACTAAGGATAATCATATAAATTTTAATAAATTATAATTAATTAATTAATTAATTAATAAAGAAATAAATAATAATATACATGTAACATTTAATTTTCTAACTGAAAATATAAAATAGTTATATACATGCAACATATTTAATTTCCTAAATAAAAATATAAAAATTATCAATAAATAACACATGATTTAAAAATAGTATATTAAAATATATATTTATAAGAAAGTACAAATTATTATATAATATTTAACAAAGAAAGTTAATACAATAACTTATAGGAGTTTCTACTTGGAATTATAACTACACGTACTGTCAATTTTCCAGTTAGCTTTTTTAAATGATTTGGTATCTATTGGCAATCAGTTATAAATGATAGAAGATAAGAGCAATGGCTATATGATTTCAAACTTTGCTGATACGTATTACTTTTTGAATTAAAAGCTTCTAATTTACATGTAATAATGAAACACAGTTAAATAATGTTATAAGTATAATTAGATATCGATATAAATTTAAACAATAATAAACCAGATACATGTAATTATCTCCATTCCCAGTGGTATGCATTTAGAGGAGGGTTGTGTATTTAGGGAGGATTTTCTGTAAATTACGTATTGTTAACACTTCAACATGTTTTTACAGGTTTATTTATTAATACACGTGATAAACGAATTACATGTAGTATTTTTTGAAAGGCAAGAGTAGTTGAAAAATAATTTCTTTTCTAATTACGTATGTGTATATATTGAAATAATATTTAATGAAAATGAAAAATTTATGTTATTAACGTTAATTGATAACGATAATTCTTGTATGGTATAGATGTTTGTACATGTACTCGTTTCGGTTAGTGTTGTGATGCGTTTTTATTGTTGATTGAGGAGTTATTAACGTTAACATAAAGTTTCCAAGGTTGTCACATAAGTAGATAGAATAAATACATGTAAAAGAAAATTTTCGAATTACGTACTGTACAGAACGTATGTATGTTGATTATATTACTTTAACTATACTTACGTACATGTACGTAATGATATCGATATGTGCTAATAAAAACTCGACATAGCGGATTGAGGCACAAGATGATTTTCATGATTCCGTATCGAGTTTCACAGTACGTAGACTTTTATGTTGTGAACGTAACGGTGTTAACACAGAAATTGATTTACAAACACAAATGAAAGTTCTATAAATCGACTTCCACATCATCATTTCAAAGTTTAAAAAAAGTATTGCACATAAAATGAAGTCAAAGATGGATTCTAATACAAATGATTGTAATAAATGTATCGTTTGTCAAGAAAACGAGTACTGTCATGGATGTTTTATATATCACAAACGAATTTATAAAGATAAAGAGTCTAGTAAAAACAAAGATATCAACAATCTAATAAAAGAATGCGAGAAAATCGATAAATATTTCAAATGGATCCCTTTTGAACGATTCACCGATGTTGAATATCATGCAAGAGGAGGTTTTGGATTAATTTATAAAGCAACCTACGAACCATCGACTGAAATATGGAATCACGAAGAAAATGAATTTAAACGATCGGAAGTACTCGAAGTTGTGTTGAAATCATTGCACAATTTGAAGCAAATTATAAATGAGGTAAAAATATACCATTTCTAAATTGTAAGCATGACGTTTTTTTATTTTCTAATAATTTCTAATACAAACAAGTATTCATAATAGATTCGGATTGCTCCTTGGTTGTGTTAATTATTATGGAATAACTAAAAATCCAGCTACCAATGAATAATGGAATGTGCAAAAGATGTCGATCTTCGCAAATACATTAATTCCAAGCACGAAGCATTGAATTGGAAAAGAAAACTAAGACTTTATATTTTATTATCGATAATCTGTATGAAATTCACACAGAGGGATTTGTGCATCGTGCCCTTCACCCCGGCCGGAAATATATTATTGCATGAAAAAGTTCAAATTACTGATTTTGGACTGACCAGCCCAGCTAATTCAAATAGATCTAATCAAGAAATTTACGGAGTTCTTCCTTATGTTAGTCCAGAGGTGCTAAATGGAAAGCTATACACTCAAGTTGTAGATATTTATAGTTTTGGGATGATTATGTACGAAATTGTAACAGGCAAACGACCATTCGGTGAGCGAAGCCACGATAGAAATCTTGTGATTGATATCTATAGAGGAGCACGACCTATGGATATCAAATGATGTTCCTGGATGGTGCAAATTTATTATTAAAAAATTTGGAATTCCAGAAAATAGACCAACTGCTAAGGAACTTGAAGATTTATCAACCATATCTACTATATTGGCTATATTAATGAGGATGGAAACCGAATGCTTTGCATTTTCAGTACTATAGCTCTTTTGAATATCCTAAATCATATAGAGAGATTAAAGAGTGTCTTATATTAAAAAAGCATTTCTACGAGTACAAAAAAAAACAATAAATCCATTCAAACGCAGTTTACACCAGTCGAATCTTCACTACAAACTTAATTGCAATTCCAACTGATACAGGTGCATTTTATTTCGAAATACAAGTCATATCGACATTTCATATTAACTATAAATTTGAATATTCAGGTTCTATAAGTGTCAGTTTGTATGTCACAACGAAGGTAAAATTATTTGTTTTAATTATTAACGTCACTAATTTATTACTAATTTTTTTTTTGCACTGCAAAACAAATTAAGGATGAGGATATATCAAATTTCTTTCAAGAACAACTACAACTTCATGATGAAACACCTCCAATGTCGGGCTCTTTATTAGATGATTAATTTATATATGCATTATGGAATTCCATTATAAAGAGTAAAAATTATCTTTATCATTTGTTAATGTTAAAATCCACTCGATAAACCGGATTTCAGGAATTTAGCTCTAATTGACCGACCACTCCAGTTTATCGAATTTTAATTTTGATATAAAAATTTTGTTATCAAATCTACTTATATAAAAATAATATAAATTATTCCTTTGTGTATATATTTGTAATATTGAAATCTTTCAACTTGAATTATTGCAAGTGTGCAGTCGTATTAGGCAATTGTACTTACGAATTATAGACATTTACCCAGGAAATATTTGACAGAGATATTTTAGATGGAAGGGGGGAGTATTTTGTGCGCAGAAAATTAAGTTATGTATTTAACTATATGCAAGTCTTAGTAGGACTACGTAAAGTTATTGTAATAGCTGGTTTTCTATATTAATCTCGTAGTAAGAATAATAAATATTATCTTCGTTAGCTCGATATACGTAATGTACGTAATTAGAAAGCGTGTTACTGTATCATTCAACGTGAATTTTCTTACACACACGAAAAAGAATATAAATACAAGCGAGTTTTCTATTATATTGTTGATAGCATTTACGTGATAAAAAATACCCTCGTAATTTCATAGATTAGTTACTTATTATCTAATAATGTGCACCTATATTAATAAAAAATTTTCGTGGCGTAAGACCAACCGTAATAAAAGTTATCAAAGAAACATTTTACTAGCTAATTGTTTAGCTATCTTGTTTTGTTGATTATTCAATTAGTAACTGCCCGAAATATCAGTCGGAAATTGAACCTCCATGTAAGAAAATCATTTTTTATTCTCTTTAATGCACATGTGTTTTTAATGGTGAGAATGTAATCATAACCACTTTTATGCATCACGTATAGGCTTTGTATTTTTTGTCTTTTTTACAGCAGTACGCATTTGACAACAAGAATTTAAACGATAGCGTTAGCTTTTCTGAAATGGAGTTTACAGTATTACTTTTAAATCTTATTATTAAATTGTGGTATGTTTTGTTGATGGATCATGGTAAGCACAACGATAAATGATAATTGTTTGATTTGAATACAAAATATCTATTATACTATATTAGAATCGAGTTTGGTAAATAGCGATAGAGAATTTATTCAGGCAGGTACGAGTATAAAATTGTTTTTTATAATGCGCACAAGTTCTCTTCTTAACAGCTTTCTTTTTATATAATAAATTGAATTGGTTTCAAAAAGATTCAAAAATGTAAGTTGCGAGAACTGTAAAAAATGTTTTTCGTGTCTCTCCACCTGTTCATGAAAATGATTTCTCATTGAAACAATATTTCGTAAGTTTCATTATTCATATATCATTTTATGATTTAATTCCTTTCAATTCAGTTATATAACGAAACAATTATTAAATTTTTCAACGAATCATACGGATAAAATAAGTACAAAATCGTTCTATTCAGATTTAAATATAAGACTGCTACCTTATAAAAAAAACGCAGGAATTCTTGCTTATTTCTGCAAGGATTTTGGTGGATTTCTGGATTTTCCTACTATTTCTAAAATTAGCATCTTTTATAATTTTGGTTTATTTCCAATACATTTTCCTGAAAGAATTTAAAGCATGCATGTTACACTATATATATATATATATTCTAGAATATTCAGTATTTTAATTTGATTCATTCCTGAAGAAAATCAGCAATTTAATTTATTTTCTATATTAATAAATAAAAAGATTTTATTATAATTAATATATAAAATAGATAAATATAATATTTATAAATAAGAATATCTAAAATAAAAATTTATTTAAAAATAAATATATAATTTTTTCGCATTTTATTTTACAATATATTTTTTACTTTTTTCTTAAATTTAGTTCAAATATTAATATTTTTTGGTTAATTTTTTATTTTTTTTTAATTCTCTTTCTAATTTTTTTTAAACTTGTCTTTTAATTACTTTGCTTTTTTATTAGTTCTAAAATAATTTAGCAAACTATTAATTATTTTATCTTTTTTGTTAATAATTTTTCATATATTTTTTAAAAATAATTAATAATATTTATATATATTTGCAATCAAAAATAATACAACAACATTAAAATTTATTAATAAAATATGAATTTTTTATATTAAAGTTTTTAATTTTCTAATAAATATTTTTAATTTTATATTAATATTATTTTAAAATTTATTAGTTTTTGTATAATTAACAATATCAAAATAATATTTAATTAAAGAAAAAATGTGTTATTTGTTATTTGTAAAAAATTTAAAATTTATAAAATATTATTTAAATATAGTAATAATTAAAAATAATATAATAACAATAAAATTTATTAATTAAATATAATAAATACAGATTTTTTTCTTTATATTAAAGTTTTCAATTTTACTAATAAATATTTTTTATATTTATATTAAATAAAGATAATATTATATATTTTAATATATAATTTTTTTAAATTTTTTAATTTAATTTTTATTAAATTAAATCTAACAAATCTGAAAAAAATATGATATCATTTTTATTTTAATATAAAAATAAAAAATATTTATTAGTAAAATTAAAAAAGAGAAAAATTCATATTTTAATTAAGAAATTTTAATATTATTGAATTATTTTAATTGTTACTATATATTAAATATAGATTAAAAAAATATTATAAAAATAAAAATAAAATAAAAATTATTAAAAAAATATTTAAATTATTTTAAGCAAGTTTATATATATTACAAAATTTTATATACTAATAATTATTTAAATCAAAATTTGTATATACTAATAATAGTTAAAATTAAAATTAATTTAATTAAATTTAATTCAATTAATTAATTATATATATATTTATAATAAGAATCTGTCAGATAATCACTAAAATTTTGAATTAAATGATAATTTTTTAATGATATCAATAATATGAAAAAAGCTAGAAATTGGTTTTGGATCAAGATTATTTGACAAACAAAAAAATGTATTTATAATAAAATCTCACAGTAAATATTTTTTATTAAAATACAAAAGATAGTTTAATATACTAAATTTTGAGATAAAAACTTTTTTTCAAAAAAAATATATCTTTATTTTGTTTATTTTTGAATTTTTGTATTATATATTAATCTTGTAATTTAATTAATCATTATCATTAATATCATTAAAAAATTGTTAAATAACTCAAAATTTTAATAATAATTCTGGTGAATTTTTATAATAAATTACCAAAAATCCAAAAAATAATAATAAAATATAATAAAATTAAAATTCTTACTTATTAATAAAAATATATTTTTATTAGTAAATTATTTTTATTTTTATATTAAAATAAAGCTAAAAATTTATATTTAAAATATATTTTTTATAAATTTATCAAATTTACTATATTTTTTTGAATTTTCAGTAATTTATTATATAATTTTTAACAAAAATTAAAAAAAATTAAAAAAATTAATTTAAATTAAAATTAAAATTTAATTAATATACTATTTTAATAATATTAAAAATATTATAATACTTTATTTTTTAAAATTTAAAATTTTTTATTTATTATTATTTTAATAATATAAACTTTAAATTATAATCTTTATTATACTATTAATTAATCTTCATTATACTATTAATTTTAATTAAATAGACTTAAAATAATTTTTTTTGTGAAAATATATAACTATATATAATTAATTATAAAAAAATTATATAATTTTGTATATTTTAATTATAAAAAATAATATAACTAATAATGAATTAAAAAAATATATTTATTTTAGTTATTATTAATATATATTAAAATTAATAATATCTATAAAAATTAAAAATCTTTTTATAAAAAGTTATACTTTTAAATTGTAATTCTTTTTTTATAGCTAAAATTAATTACAATCAAATCTTTCTATAGTTATATTTATTTATAGTTATACTTTTTTATAGTTATATTTATTTATAGTTATACTTCTCTATAATTGCTTTTTATTTACATATAAATATAGTAAAAAAAATCTCTTTATAGTCACATTTTTTATAATCATCAATTTTTGCTTTTCTGAAAGTAATAACTATAGAGAGATTTGGCTATATAAATTTTTATTAAAAGTTATAGTTAATATTATTAGCTAAAATTATATAATTAATTTTAAATTAATTTTTATTTTTTTTAATTATTAGAACTATATAATTAATTTTAAAAAAAATTTAGAAAAAATCAAGATAATAAAAATGAAAATATATTTTTTATATTATTATAATTATAATAAAATTTAATAAAATATAAAAGAATAATTTTAATAAGTAAAAAAAATAGCTTAAAAGTTTATTATTATTACATTTTCAATATTAACTAGAATAATATTATTGATTTATTGATTAATTTAAACCCAACTCTTGTTGAAAAAAATGTTATAATAATAGTATTGATTAATATATTATATAAATTGTATAATGCATAACATCTAAAGTCATCAAACGTTTATATTTATAAAATGTATAAACATTTTTACTAAGAAGTAAATACCAAATTTAATTTGTGAATATGCTCAGAAAGAGCCTATTCTATTATATTCACGGATTAAATTTTGTATTTACTTCTTAGTAAAAACGTTTATAAAATACAAACGTTTTATGAATTTACAAACTGTATCTTTAAAATATAAAAATACTATCAAATGAATTTATCAAATAATTTTGATTTTGAAAGATGAATAAGTATTTTTTTATTCAAATATTGCAATATTTGGTGCAGGGATTCTTAAACTAAGAAATTTTAGCTAAGTCAAATATTTGGTAGCTATTTATCAATAGCAAAGCTAAGCATTAAGACCATTGGAATACGCAGGATTTAGAGTTTTAAGTCATACCAATTGAAATCCCAAATAAGCCTCTATAAGCATATACACTCGCTAAATGCACCCTCTGGCTCAGTTTCAAGATATAGATATTAATATTTGAACATAATCTAAAGAAATTGCACAATAAGTCATAAACTTCATAATTAGATTTTAAATAGTAAAAATTATTATTATGTAGTTTATCTGAAGAGAATAATCAACAAACTGATAAAATCAAGTGATTGATTAATGCTCTTCAGATACGGGTAACGATTTTTATTATAAATATAGAAGAGTCAACGATAACCATAAATCTATACCACAAACTCTTTTTTTTTCTATCATAACAATAACACAATACTAAAAGATGCCGCCAAAGGCTGAAAAAAAACCTGTATCTTCAGCCATTAAGGCAACAACTTCAAAAGCGACAGTTGAAATGAAAGAACAGAAACCAGTAGGCGAAAAAGGCAAAAGGAGGAAGGCTAGAAAAGAGACCTACTCCAGTTACCTCTACAAAGTGCTCAAACAAGTTCACGCAGACACTGGAATTTCTAACAAGGCAATGTCGATCATGAACTCCTTCGTGAACGATGTCTTTGAACGTATCGCGACCGAAGCTTCTAAGCTCGCCGTCTACAACAAAAAATCAACCATCTCGTCCAGAGAAATCCAAACGGCTGTTCGTCTTATTCTTCCTGGTGAATTGGCGAAACACGCCGTTTCTGAAGGCACTAAAGCGGTCACTAAATATACCAGCTCCAAATAAAGGATTCATAATGTGTGGTTATTTTATGTATTTTTTGCTTTAATAATGACTAATGGAAGTGACAATTATATTGTTATATATTTTCTATTTTAGCTAGTATGCAATAATAAATATAAATTACTTGCAAGAAATTTCCTCTCTTTGGTATTTGACATGTGTGAGTTGGCACGAATCGAATAAATTACTTGCAATACAAAAAATTACATGAAATATACGCTATACTATATTGGGCTTTTAACTAACTAATTTAATTAAGAAATTGGGTGGATCTGTTGTTTTTGTTCATATTTGTAGGAATGCTTTTTTTACAGTCCTTTGTTATAACGAATTATAATTAAATTCACGTTACAGCGGATTTTTAAAGTTTTCGTTTCACATAAATTCGATATAACTTTACGTTACTAGTAGTATTACCGTAACGGATTCTGAAATTAATTTCTTATGTATCAAGATCTTTGTTGTCGGCTATTTCACTTGATAAGTACTCTTCATCTTCTAAGTTCGTTTTTTGATGGCTCTAACTTTTGCTGACCGAAATTTTTGATTCGGGACATAATTTACGCACACATTTACAACTAGAGCACTTACTTGTTTTCAACTAGTAACATATTTTCTAAGTCCATACTAAATGAAAAAGAAATATAAGGTTAAATTATAGTTCCTTTTGTACTGATTTACAATCAGTATTCTGCAATTTATACTCAAAACGCCAGACACGTGAGATTATAGCACTAGGCACATCCATGATTTTTTTGCTGAATAATTGCCATCAATTATCCCCATCACCATCTCCTCTACGTTACCATCCCCTCTACGTTACCATCTCCTCTACGTTACCATCTCCTCTACGTTACCATCTCCTCATCGTAATTCCACTTATGCTGTTACTGCGTTCAACGAGATCGAGCCTATTTTTACATATATATAGTGGTAATCAAAAATAACGATAATGCAACAAGGAATTAACCATTTTAAATCTCTGATTTATTATGTGAAATAGTTTAACATGTTATAAATTCAGCATGGATTATTCTTCAATAATATAAAATTTATTCGATTTTTTTGCTGTTGGATTATTTTTGCACTTTTTCAACATAATTCATATAATTCTCTAAAAATTCTATTTTTTCTTTTCTCTTTTGGTTATACTAGATATAACTAAATACATGTATACTATATATATATTGTTTACATTGGGGGCGATTTGAGGGATTTCTAACGCTACGGATATCGTTGACTTAAGTTGATTTTTGGGGAAAGGGAGAGACTATGTGTTTCTGGTGAGTGTTCGGGGTTTTCTTAACTATTGCTTTTTACAGATAAAAGCCTTAATCTCTTAAAAATATTACTAAAAATCGTTGCTTTTTCTAGATAAAAGCCTTAAACTCTTAAAATTATTATAACGGATACACAATAAAAACGGTTTTTCAATAATGCGATTCTACACAAAACAATGCCTTTTCTGGTGCAAAGGACCTAACCGACAATCGATATCACGATTAACGTGGGGAATGGGGGGAAGAGTTTTACAAGCGATAATTTACTTAGAGGGAGAATAATTGTACGCAATAATTCAAGTTTAATTTAGCTTGGAGAACAATTGTACACAATGTGAATTCTCTTTTTACAAGTGGCTTACTTAAAGAATAATTGTTCGCAATATGAATTCTTTTTTATATTCTTATTCTATTCTTTTCTGTAGCCCGTATGCTATTCTTTTATACATTTTTTTGTATTATTACATGTATATATCATTCTATCTATTACTATTAAAGAAAAAAAGCATTACTTATACTATGTAAAAAAAAGAAAAGAATGTTTATGATGAATGCTCTATAATCCATAGAAGAAATTGATTGCAGAATAAATTGAAAACTAATGGAATCATGCTGAAAAATGATGAGAGAATGCTGTAAAACAATGTGAAAAATGACACAATTCCATATTGTATATCAAATGGGAAAGCTTGTTGTTTTTATTAACATATCATCATGCTATAAAGTCTATAAATCACTTTTGTTGATATTTGTAATGGAAATCTGCTAAAATATCTACAGCAGTGTTGCTAATGATTGTGATGGAAATTTGCTGTAGTAATGCTAAAGATTTTATCAGATTAGAAAATCTGCTGAAACAACACTGAAAAATATATCAGTTTGAAAAATTTACAGCAATATTGATGGGAATAATGCTAAAAAATATATCAGTTTGAGAAATTTGCAGCAGTGTTAATAATTGTGATAGAATATGCTGTAGATGCTAAAAAATATATCAGATTAGAAAATTTGCAATATTAATAAAATATCTATTTGATATTGATGACTTATCTTTCATTATTTCATTTAGAAAAGCCAGAATTAAAGATTTTTGTTCACCAATGATAACATTTATTTCTTCTTTTAAGATTGCACTCCACTGAAATTACTTGATTCATTGAATAAGCTCATTAACTCTCTGAACTCTAAGCCAAATAATGCAATCAAACATTAAAATAGTATAATTAGCAATTCTATTTAGTTCAAGTTTTTGGAACAATCAGTAAGTACACTTTCTGATTTGCCAATATCAATTTAGTAAGAATAGATTAATCTATTCTTAAAACATAATCCATTCCTTGAGAATTTGTAGATTTTGATTATAATTTAGCAGTGTATTATATAAGAAATTATCAAGAAAAATAATATCTTGGTAGTCATTTTCTATTGATATCTTAAACTCAGAGAATATCAAGAGTGATATGTTCAACTTTATCTTTTCACAAATAATTAACTTGAAAATAATTCTCTATTTGTAATGAAGGAGAGCTATGACAAGTACTATTAATTTTATTAATAATATTATAGCTGTGTTTGAAGAATTCATTTTATTAAAATTAATATATTATATTTGATCATTTTCAGCTAAAATTAGTTGATTAACTATGATATTGAATATGTCATTGAATTGATATTTTTGAAGCTTTTGGATGAGTTGTAGAGTTGCTTTCATAATTTTCTCATTTTGCCAGATACTCTCAGTATTATTCATTTTATTATTATTATTTATTTATTTTTTTGTATATCATATTATGTTTTTTGTTGTTTCTTTGTGGACTAAAATTTTTTTCACTTTTATAATTTCATTAACCAATAACAGATCTTTAAATATTGAATCATATTTTTATTTTTATATGTTAATCATTGTGATTTATTGTTGCATTGGTTATTTTTTTGTGTTATTATTATATGTTCATTACAAATTTATTATATTTTTTTATTATTATTAATCTCTCTTTTTTATATCATTTTTTATCATTTTTCTCTTTCTTATAATTTTATTATTATTTGTTTTTCTTTTTGTTTGAATTTTATTAATGCATTTAATTTTTCTATTTTAGGTATTGTGACTGGAAGTGTTTATTTCTCTTTAATAATAGTATTTGAGTTGATTGTCATTAAAAATTTTTTTTAGTAACTGACTATACTGATTTTATAATTGATAGGTATTATTTCTGGTTGGCTTATAGATATAAACTATTCATTATTCTATTATCATTTAAATTTGTCTCCATATTAGATGTGACAAATCATATTATAGATTAATACTTTTTTGCTAATCTCAAGAATTTTGTTTTACAAAATTTTTTGATTATAAAGTTTTTTGAATTTTGCTGAATTTCTTATATATTATTTTGAATATATCAGATTTTCATTAGCAATTTGTCTAGTAATATAAAGATTCAGTTTTTCATTCTTTTTTACAAGTTAGTTTTGATCTCAGAGTAGATTTTATATTAAAGTTCTATTAATAATTTTGTCTTTTATCTATAGATCAAAAAGAATGACTCATGTCTCATACTGAAATTTCTTAGTATTTGATATGCAAAAAGAATAACAAAGATATACACATTTTATTTAGTTTTTAATTTAATATAGTATTTTTGTAGTAATATACAGAGGGTCTAATTGTAACATTCAATAATTTTATTTGTTTGTGAATAGTAAGATAATGAGAACTTATAGTAAATATTGTATTGGTTTACTAATTTCTTAATAATAAACTCAATTTTGTTATCTAATTGAATTTTTTTTGAACATCCATGTCTGCAAATAATATTTTCAAAGATGAAAGTAATAATTATGGATGCTTTTTTATTGAAAATTATCTTGATCTCAGGTCATTTAATAAGATAATTAATAATGATAGCTATTTTTTTCAGATTTTTCAGATTTAATCTGATAAAACTTATAATTAAAATATATATTTATTATTTAGAAAAAAATACATTTTTTAAAAAATACTTGTTAAATAACTTGATATAATATAAATATTTATTATTTTTTTATTTATAAAATAATTTAAAATAATACTAAAAACTATTAGCTTTAAAAATATATATAAATTTAGTTATTAATATTTCTTTTTAAAATATTTTGAATAATTAATTCTTTAAATTATCTTTTTTAAATAGTATAATTAAATTTTTTTATAGTTATATCATTTATAATTATATTTTTCTATAATTATTCTATTTTATTTTTCTATTTATATATAAATATAGTAAATAAAATTTTTTATAGTTATATTTTCTCTAAAATCACCAAATTTTACTTTTTTAAAAGTGATAAATATAAAGAGATTTAACTATATTTATTTAATTTTAAAAGATTATTATACTTTTAAAAAGAATTATATTGAATTCTTTAAAATTGTGCAAGTAATAATAATTACAATTTGTTTAAAAATAAATATTTTAAATAATTTATAAAAATTTAATATTTTTATAATATTAAAGTCTAAAAAATCTTTTTATAATTTGAAAATCTATTAATTACTTAAAATATTATTATAATATATTTTTAATTAAATATAACAAAAAGAATATATTAATTAAAAATGATTTAATATTTTAAGTTACAATTATTTTAATATATTTAAAATTAACTAATTATAAACTTTTATTTGTATAATATATATTATTAATTTAGTTTTAAAAATCTATTATGAAATAATAAACTTTG